AAGTCTAAAGAAAAAAGAGAAAAAAGAAATGAACAAAGCCTTCAAGAAGTATGGGATTATGTGAAAAGACCAAATCTACGTCTGATTGGGGTGCCTGAAAGTGAGGGGGAAAATGGAACCAAGTTGGAAAACACTCTTCACGGTATCATCCAGGAGAACTTCTCCAACCTATTAAGGCAGGCCAACATTCAAATTCAGGAAACACAGAGAACGCCACAAAGATACTCCTGGAGAAGAGCAACTCCAAGACACATAATTGTCAGATTCACCAAAGTTGAAATATAGTATGTGCTATAGTTTCAATGTTCACAATAATCCAAGTTCCAATGGCAGGGTGGCAGAGCAGAACGAAAGAGGCCACATTATGTTTGTGAAGTGTATATTTTTTAAGATCAGGGATTGAGAAACTGTAATATAAGTGATCAGTTAGAAAGTTCTTATGATAGTGCATGGCACGTGTCCTTTGCATCATCTGGATTTTCCGCATTTTTTTGTCTGACTCACTCCTACTCATTCTCCAGTCCTCACCTTAGTGGTCACTTCTCCCCGGAATGCCCCGACCCCTTAAGATAGCAGTGGTGCAAACACCAAAATCTGAACTTATAAATAGCCTCACAGGCAATACCTTGTCCTGTGCCATGCTTCACTAATGTAGAGGAAGTGAGAAAGAGTAGGAGAAAGGAGGAAAACAAATGTCATTTCCATCGCAGAGGCCTCAAAGCCAGTCCACTTGATTCTCTGGATTTCCTTTTCTGCATAACAGTGATGAAAGGTAGCGTAGAAAAGCCATTTGTCTGAGGCTTCATTTTGATACCTTGCTAGTCACTAAACTAAGAGTTGGATTCCATTCTTTAGTGTAGCCATTACCTCATAAATCCATACATAGTAGTGGTATTTATTTCCAATAAAGTGTCCATATAGATTAGGTATATTCTATTGACAATTTTATTAAAGTCCTTCATTTATCTTCCAGATAGCAGATTCTTTTCTTTTTTTAAGATGGAATCTCCCTCTGTCACCCAGGCTGGAGTGCAGTGGTGCAATCTTGGCTCGGCTCACTGCAACCTCCACCTCCTGAGTTCAAGTGATTCTTCTGCTTCAGCCTCCCAAGTAGCTGGGACTACAGGTGCACACCTCCACACTTAGCTAATTTTTGTGTTCTTAATAGAGACGAGGTTTCACCATATTGGCCAGGCTGGTCTTGAGCTCCCAACCTTGTGATCTGCCCGCCTCAACCTCCCAAAGTGCTGGGATTACAGGCGTGAACCACTATGCTCAGCCCCCAGATAGCAGATTCTACCAACCAAGTTTCATGAAGAGTTCTGATTCCTAGAGGTAAGAACTGAGGCTGGCTTTCTAGTTACATGTTTACTGGTAACCCTCTCCTTCCCTACAACACTTAAGCCCATTTAAAGAGTATACCCTCCCCTGCCTCCTCCCTGGATTGTAAGTTCCTTAAGATCATGGCTGTATCTTTTAACATCAAGTCTCCATGTGAGAAGAGTTCCTGGCATATCACAAATGCCATATAAACATTTGTATGTGAAGAAAGCTATTCTGTGGTGTCTGCTTTAATATTAAGAGATGGCTTGCCAAGGATTGCTAAGCAGATTAATTATCTAAAATGGAACTAGATTCTGTGGATAGCAGGTCCATTGGTGCCACCCACAGGAAACCTCAAAGCCACCGTACTGCCCCATAAACCTGCGGTACTTTTCATTGACGTCCAGTTTAGAGAAGTAATATGGAATATTATTCCGACGCAGATATTTCCTGAATCTCAACATCAGCTGCACCATGATGCCTCTTCTTCGGTATTTTTCCATGCTGTAGGCCATTCCTGCTTCACAAGAAGGGTCCATGGTTAACCATGAGATTGGGGCCCCCTCTGGGCCCAGCATACAGGCTGCTGGCAGGGCTCCTATGCAGCGGTTGATGTAACGCAGGCTCCTCTCATTCTTTCCTAGATTCCAGTTGTCATTTACCAGCCCAGAATGAGAGACATCCAGCTGGGCATACTTCAAATGGAGAGTTTCGCTGTAGAAAACAAACAAAAAAAGAGGCAACAACTTTTATCCCAACTCCTGTAATTTCTGGGTGCCATCCCAATCTAGAGATCCAGGCCCTCTTCTTGTTTAAAGACCCACCAGTGCAAAGTTGCATATTTTGACCATTGACAACCTTTATTCATCTCAAGAAATGAATTCATCCTCTCTTCATTCCAAAACTGATTTATGTGCATTACAAAAAACGTGCAAGGAATAGCAATTATAAATGATCAGCACATGTTTTTGTACCTCTCAAATTCATCATCTGGGTGGCCTGTCTCAACCCAGCTTTCAAGCTTGCTTTTATTGGAGGCATTGAGCTTCAGGATATCTTCCGTAATGAAGAGGCCTGCTCTCGAATACTCTACCTTCACTGAATTTGAAAATGCAGCCGCTCTTATCCCCTCACCTAAACTTTCTTGAAGACCTGGGAAGGAAGCCAAGAAAGCAATATTGTCAAACATGGAGTTCTCTACTTACACTACTACCATTTGATTAATACCTCAGTGCTTAGTAGCTCTCTGACTTGAGTTTACACCACAACCTGCTGGAGTCCTTGTCACACCACAGATTGCTCTACCTCTCCCAGCTCCCAGAGTTTCTATGAATTTGTATTTCTAATGAGCTCTCAGGTGATGCTAGTGCTGTTAGCTGAAGACTCAATTTGAGAAGCACTGCTGCTTGCCCATTTCTTCAGACCCATTACCTTGGATTCGGAGTCTCTGTTTCCAGTTTATGATCTCACAATTTTTCAAAACTTCTTGTGATTTTTGAGGGTCTTTGGAGAATATACGATATACATTTGTGTATGAATCCATGTCATCAGTCATCTCCTGTATAGGATGGTGAAAGGTCAGATCATTCCCTTGAACTTTTTCTTCACCTCTCACTGATTGAAATTATCAGAGAAATGAAAATTCAAAAGATAATTTTAACAGCAGCCCACACTAGCTTCAGTTGGGCACACGGATAATAAAAGCTAGGCCTATAAGCTACTGCTGACCTCTTGCCTGTGTAACGAGAGTTTGTTAAATATTTCACTGACAGGTACTGGTTATAAACCAGTTTATCAGATACAGAACAAAGACAGGATGAAATCAGTCACCCTGCACCAGGCCTTAAGATACCTCACCTTTCTCCCTACCCACTCAACCGCACACTTACCTAATTTTATACATAGCATCACTGATCACCCAGCAGAATCAAAAGATTGCAACAGTTGCTTCTCTCCCTGCTTCTCTCACCTCCTGTGACACACGTATTCCCCTGTTATGTATGCTGTGCACCCCATAACCTCCTGTGGGACACATTCTGGATTGTATTGAGTCTGTGTTGCTAGGTCCTTAAACTTGGCTCAAAATAAATTTAACTGTGATTTCTCTAAGTTTTAGTGCCTACTGTTCCACCAGACACCTAGAATCTACAGTGTCCAGGGCTTGGGCAAGATACTTTAGTGAATATAAACATTAAGAAGACATTGCCTTTTCCCAAGCCTACAGGATATCAGCCTATTCGAAGAGTGACACTTTCTTTACAGCCAGAAGCTCACAAAACAGAATGAAGTAACTGAATTTTTGGTAGGACTTTGGGTAATTTATGTGGTGTTAGACTCATGGGCTTAAAAGAAAGAGACTCGTGATCCCATTCTGGCAAGCCACAAACTACATGGAAAGATGAGTTTCTGTTTCTCAGGGGAAATATAAACAACAAGTGTGAGAGTTTTAGCAGTGAATGTATTAATATTATTTTGGAAATTGGATTGTTAAAGAGTAAAAGAGAAAATAGTGTAACTAATTTAAAGAAACCTTCAATAATTTGAGGGTGTTTTTATAAATGCAAGTTCCTGAATATGGCCAAAACCAAATCCTCAGTAAATTTAGAAGAGCAGATATTTTTAAAAACCTGATTTAAAAGAATGACCAGAAATAGCCAAGTAAATATTTAAGGAATTATAAAAAGAATATCAAAGTAAACTAGAAAAAGCAAATGGAACTATTTATAAAAATGAAAGCTATAAATAATGAAATGGAGAACAAGACAGTGCAAAGGACATATAAAGCCAAAAGTTTGTTTTTAGATGGCAAAAAGAGAGGAGAGAGTGAGGGATAAACTTCAGATAAGGCATTATACGGAAATAGAAGAGAAAGAGGAAAAAGCAAAAATAAAAAAATAAGCATAGAGTATGAGAGATGAAAAGGGAAACAGAGAAAAATACAAAAAAAAAATAGAAGCATGACAAATGAGAAAAGAAATAGTGAAAAAAAAAAAAAGAATTGTGACAGAAGATTATATACAACTCCAAGGCAACATATTTACTGATAAAAGAAATGGATGTTATCAGTCGAAAATAAACTATCAAAATTGTTCAAAAAAATAAAAATCCTCAACAAACTAACAGAACATATCAGAAATTGAATTAAACATCCGCCATTTAAAAAGTGGACACGGATTATGGCCTCCAGCTCCATCCGTGTTGCTACAAAGGACATGATTTTATTTTTTTCTATTGCTGTATCTTATTCCATAGGAATATATGACCAAGTTTTTTCTATCCAATCTACTATTGATGGGAACCTGGATTGATTCCATTTCTTTCCTACTGTGAACAGCACAGGAATGAGCATACAGATGCATGTGTCATTTTGGTAGAATGATTCATTTTCTTTTGGCTGATTACTTAGTAATAGCATTGCTGGGTTGAATGGTAACTCTGTTTTAAGTTCTCTAAGAGATTTCCAGGCTACTTTCCACAGTGCCACAATCCTTAGCAAATTAATGCTGGAACAGAAAACCCAATATCGCATGTTCTCACTCACAGCTGGGAGCTAAGCATTGACCATACATGGACATAAATGTAAGAACAATAGACACTGTGGACTACTAGAGGGTGGAGGGAAAGGGGCTGGTTTAGAGAACTACTTATTGGGCATTATGCTCACTCCCAGGGTGATGGGATCTGTCCTTACTTCAAGACTCAGCATCATGCAATATTCCAATGTAAGAAATCTGCACATGTACCCCGTGTATCTAAAAGGAATGTTGAAATAAAAAATAAAGAGTAGCCAAAATCAGATTATTTTATATTTAAATTCGACATAAGCCAAAAACAAACACATAATTTTAATAATAGACTTTGGTAACAGAAGAAAAAATCCTAATGCCAAATCTAGTAAAAAAATAACAAAAAGAGAGTTATTGACCATATTCCCTTATAAATACAAATACAAAAATTCTTATAAAATATTCAGTAGTATATCAAAAGAATGTGAACATGAACAGTTTGTTTTAGAAAGGCCAGAATGGCTTTGCTCAAAAGATCTTTTAGTGTAATAAATTAAAGGAGGGAAAATTACTTGAGTATATAAACTGCCAAAAAGAAAAGACAAAAACGAAAGAACATAAAATTTACCCTCCATTCTAAATATAAGTTCTATGAAAGTAGGAAGAACAGGAAAATGCTCTAAACCTGTAAAGACAGAATCAAGTGTATTTCCGAATGTAAGTTCTTACCGTTATTTCATTAAAATGAGGAATGAGACAAGGATAGAACTATTATTATTGTTAGTTGGTATTATTTTCTTAGTTGTACATTATGCAATAAGGCAAAGAACTAAAAGCCAAAGTAATTTGGCAAGGAAGCAGCAAATTACTTTGTTTGTAGATTACAGTATTCCACATTTAGAAAATCCTAGAGACTTTGGCAAAAAACAAAAACAAATAAAAGCCCACACACAAAAAGCAGGATTTTAAAGAATAGTGTGACATATTTGGAAATCAAGAATCCAAATAAAAAGCAATAACAAAATAAGAATGCTCAGAAATAGAAAAGGAAAAATAACTTAATAATATTAACAAATAGTATAAAATACCTAAGGGTAAACTTAATGAAAAATTACGTAGTTTACCATAAGGAAAACAATAAAATTTTACAAGATGGCATAGAGCAAAAACTGAACAAGTGAGAAAAAGATCATATTTCTAGATGAAAAAATTTAGTATCACAAAAATATTAATCCAAAATTATCTAAGAAAGCTCCTCCAATACCAATCACAATTGCAATAGTTAGTAGGGGTAGTTGGTGAAGATCTAGAAAAATTAGTTCATATAGCTCTTAAGTTTATCAGAAAGTAAGAAAGAGATTGGTGAATGATTATTTGCTTTATTAGATATTAAAACTTACCACAAAAACAATGAAATAGCATGAGAAAAGACTAGAAACAAATACAGAATTTGATACAAAAGTATATAAACATGTTATATGACAAAATAGACATATTTCAGTAGTGGAATGACTCATTTAATAAATAGTACTAATGTAATTAGCCGGCCATAAGGAAGAAAAATATAAAAGAATGTTAATTTATGCTATTCAAAAATATATTCCAAATAGAATGAAGTTTGAAATGTCAAAAATAAAAATTAACTCAATGTAAGACAAAATAAGAAAACACTTGTATGCTCTTGGAGTAGGAAAAATCTTCCTAATTATTAATAGAAAAACAACAAAACCTCAGAAGTCATAGTGAAAAAAAAAATGCTTGATTATATGAAAATTAAAAATTTCTTTATGTCAAAATCTCCATCAATCAAATAGAAAATAATTATAACATGGGCAACAAATTTGTAGCATAAACCTTGTGTCAGTATTACTAGTATCCAAAACACTTACAGAATTTTAAGAATGACCAAATCCCCAGTGTAAAAATGGTCAAGCAATATAAACACTTAAGAAGTAACCCCAAATGACTGATAAACATAGGAAAATATAATACGTTCAATATCACCAATCAGGGAAATGTAAATTAAATCTACAACAAGATGCCATTTTTTGCCCATTAGTTTGGCATAAATTAAAAGAAGAATAACATTCAGTGATGGTGAAAAATGTGGGAAACAATTCTTCCACACACTGTTAATGGAAATAAAACTGTGAAATCCTTTGGGAAGGTAATCTGGCAGGATAACTTTGAGTTGGAGATATCCCTTTTATAAATCAATTGTACTGAGGAAAGTTACCAGGATGTAAAGACATGTATACGAGGATGTTTACTGAAGCATTTTTTGTAGTGACAAAGAAGTATGAACAATTTGAATCCAACAGCAGGAGAAAGACTGACTAAATTGAATTGCATTGACTCTATGGAATGCAACAGCTATTAAAACAAATATGTTATTTGTTTCACCCAAAGAGATTTCTATATGTCAAAGGCAAATTAAAAAGTGATGACAGAAGAGATCATCAGTGAATATCCCTTTGTGTTAACATGGGCAAGGACACTGACTACCCCAAGGGGTAGGAAAAGAGGAGAGGAGGGAAGTGGAGGTGAGAGGTTATTAACTTCTTAAAATCATGTCGTATTTTTACACTTGTATAATCAACATATATTATCTTTGTGATTAAAAACCAGCAAAGAAAAAATTATTTTTTCTAGATAAATTCTCCTGCATATCACCTTAAAAAGGTCTTATTAAAAATTGGATTGACTTTCAATACTGAAACGTCGTATGTAATGGAATTAGACTAGTTGAATGTATTTCCAAGTAAATTGCAGCATATTTCCTTCTTTCCACTTTTTTAGTCATATATGTGTGGTGTGGAACATTTATATTTTAATATTTTTGTTTATTGACTCACTTTATAAAAACTAGCCCTGTTCAAAGTAGCACATATATAAAATTATGGTTTGATGCTATAGTTACATTGCTAAAATACACATAATAACTACTAAGTTACTGAAGTAAAAAGAACTATTTGACCTCCTACATTTATGTAGCCTATCACACTTTGAAGAAATTGGGCCATGGATTAAATAAACTAAGCACTATTCTTTGATTCCAAATTGTCAGGAAGCCAGGAGATCAAAAGAACATTCCTAGGGAAGGTGTTAGGCTCAGCCTGGTTCCCGCTCCCTTTACCCCTTTGTTCCTCAATGTAGGATTACTTTGTCACTTTCTGCATCCCAATCCCGACCCAGCTTGTAAACTAGTCTAGACCTGGGGTGGCTTACTATTATTTGGAGGCTCAGCATCTATACTTACATGAAGCTGGGCTGACCATGAGACTTCATAGTCTACTAACCAGACATGCAGAAAACAGATATAAAAAGAGGAAGTCTTTAGGGCAAAAAAACCAGACCTAGGTTTATATTACTACTTCAGCTTAACCGTTTATTCCTTGTGTGTCCTCAGCCAATAATGGCTAATTATGGTAAATACTATTTACAGTTATGTGCTATGTACTAAGTCTTTGACGTACAGTATCTCATTTAAACCTTGTGTAATCCTCTGAAGAAAGTCCTCTTATTTTTTCCCTTTCTAATAGATGATGAAACTCAGAGAAGGGCCTATGGTTACATAGCTAGTAGAAATGGCAGAGTCCACTGAACTTGAATTCAGATTGGGCAATGCATATATGCATTTGGTATCCAGCAGCTACATGACTTAATATTTCTCATTGTCATTTCCTTATATCTACATTGGAGATATTAATGCTCACTTCGTAAAATTGTTCTGATGATGACACTCACTAACAAGAGAAGTGCTTCGACATAGTTGACACACAGAAATTATGAGTCCCAGAGTCCCTTCCCTGATTCCTGAGAGGCAACTTGTTTTTTTCTTTTTGTTCTTTTCAGACAAGGTCTCACTCTGTTGCCCAGGCTGGAGTACAGTAATGTGATCTTGGCTCATTGCAGCCTTAACGTTCTGGGGTTCAAGTCATCCACCTCAGCTTCCTGAGGAGATTGCAGTATAAGCATGCACCAACATACCCGGCCAATTTTGTTTATTTTTTGTAGTGATGAGGTCTTACTATGTTGCACAGGCTGGCCTCAAACTCCTGGCCTGAAGGGATCCTCCTTCCTTGGCCTCCCAAAATGCTGGGGATTACAGGTATAATTCACCATGCCTGGCCCTGAGAGATAATTTTTTACTGGTAGACTTCTGCTCTGGTTTCTGTTTCTAAGTCACTGTTCTGATATCTCAGACACCCAACTTTCCCTGTAAATTGGCCCCGTTCAGGCCCTGCAGGTGACCCCTGCAACCTCAAAGGGTACTTAATCTGCCAGTGTCAGCCTTGTTTTTCCCTCCCCTTGCCCTTCCACCCCCTTTCCCAGATGTGTCTCATGCTTAACTGGAAGGGAGGGAACACGTGGCACTCATGCAAGGTGCCAAGCACTGAAGAAGTGTTTTAAAATACTCGCATTCCCTTTCACTCTATAAAAGCAGCCCTGATGTCTCAACTAGTCAGTTCCTCAGGCCCTCTGGACCTGCCTGGCTCCACCAGTCCTTGTCTGTGTGCCTACCTGTTTTTGAGGCCGGATAATAACCATCTGATAGTCGGGCCAGGAGTCCACCAACACCTCCATGTTGAAGGGGTTCCCGTGATTGATGTGATACACAGAGCCGTACACCTGAAGGAGGGAAGGAAAGAACTAGAAGAATTTGAGATCCCCAGAGATGAGGATCTGGATGTGAAGAGAAAGAGAAAAGTGGAAGTCAAGAGACAGTACTGAGACCAAGTCAGTGAAGGTGAGATGAGCAGCATCTCCAGGACCATGTTGATGGACGTGAAATCACCAGCAAGCAGGCAGAACTCACAGGCAGGTGTCCTTGTGATACCAAAAAGCTACTGTGCACTAGCTGGGCACTTGGCAATGCTCTTAGCATTAATATTGTATGAATTTATTTAGAGTCCACAACAACTTTAAGAAGTAGGTGCTAATATTATTCCCATTTCACTGATGAAAAGACTAAAGGTAAAGGCACAGAAAGGTAAAGAAACATCCACAAAGCAATCCGACACTCCCACTGTTCCCTCACCTTCAGGGATTCGGGGATGCTACTGGCCAAGGATTTGTATAGGGTCAGCAGCTTCTGGGAGTTATCCAGTAGGATCATTTTGTGGGATGCTTCAGTCCTTGAGCCCTTCAAGAAGAAACTCTGAAAAGATAAGAAGTGAAGGAAAAATGTTAAGGGACCAGATGAATTTAAAATGTACTTTTTACATCTCCATTTAAGTAACACTCATGATGTAGGTACTGTTAGTGTCATCTTCATTCTGAATATACCAAAGCTCAGAGAGACTAAGTAAATTTCTCAAGTTCTTACAGAGATAAATGCCAAAGTCAAATTTTAAAACCACATACGAATGGCTCCAAAACCCATGCTCTTCCTCCCTGGTGGAATGAATTAAAGGTGAAGATTAAGAGTTATGTGAGGTTCTCAAATGCCTGTAGCAGAACACTCACCCACCAACATCATAACTTTTTTCTCTGTATTTTGGTCATCAGATGCCTGAGAAGTCTTCTTTCATCTGGAATAGAAAATGTCAGCCCTCTGAGAACAGTTGTGACTGGAAAACTCAGAGCAGTAGATGGCACAGATTTTCTTTAGTTTCTTTGAGCCAAATATTGCAGACCAATGGCCATTTTGGAAGTTGTCATAGTTACATTACAAAATTTTTTTAAAAAAGGTAAAAATTTTTGACACATATCTATAATTTTTCTTTGAAATAACATTCAGCATTCTTAGGAATGTTCCAATAATTTAACAATAACTTGGAGAAGGTTATCATCACAACTGATAGGTTCAACTTAGGCTGCTTTCAAATTTTAGTTCTGTCTCCTACTTCTTTGTTAAGTTGCTTAACCAATCAGAACCTCAAAGTGTTTTCTCAACACTTTGGAACTGGAAATTAGAATGCATGTTTTCCAGAGAATTGAGATTACACAATGTAATACATATAAAATACATAGCATTATGCCTGGCATAAAGTAACAACAATATTTAACATATGTTAGTTTTTTAATTCACTTTATAATAATCAACATGTCATATAGAGATTTAGCTGTTATATGCAATGATGTAAAAATAATTAGAAATGTGAAAAACTTACAACAAACTTAATTAATGTAAGAGAAGGAACCCATGGATCAGATACTTGAAACAATCGTTAGCAAATTAGTTAATACAGAAGTTTGAAATTTTTTATCCATGAAGGTTAAATAGTTAACAAATATGTGTTAAGTCATAGGCAAGGTGAAACATATTTTGTCTTGTCTAAGGTCAAAGGCCTCAAAATTCAACTATGTTCTGTAGCTAGATGAAACAATATTTAAACAAAAACATCCTTTTGCAAGGTCTCAGAATTTCAGAATGTTTGAACACTCAAGGAACTTTTAGTAAATAGAACTGGATCTCTGTCATGAGCCTATCCCCTGTCTGACTCTGCTGTTTTTGTAGTTGTCAAAAAAAAAAAAAAAAAAAAAAGGTCTTTTTCCCCATCTCCAAGAGCTTTCTTTGCTCTGTTTCTCACCTCATTTAACTTAAAATGAACTTCAAAATTTTCTATTTTGAAGTTCTCGACAGGAACTTCAAAAATGAACTTCAAAATAGAAAATTTTGAAGTTCTGGTCAAGATGTTGGAAGTTTTAATTTCAGATCTACCATGCTATATCACTTCCCGCAAAAAAGCTTGTGTTCCATTCACCTTGAGAACATTGTAGCCTTGGCTGACACATGAGAACAGCCCCCACATTTATCAGCTGCCACATCTTTCTCCAAAATACCTCTCCTATCCATTCCCTACTCCATCCCCTTGCAATGATCTTAGTTCAGGGCCTCCTCCGCCTCATACTTAATATTGCTCTTATGACCCCACCCTGGTCTCAGCTTCTAAAATCTACCAAAATAAAAGTGTTCTCTTCCTGTATTCTTACCATCAACATTTGTTTTCTAAATCAGAAAGCTGCTAAAAACCTGGTAGATCCCTCCCCACACTCTTTTAAAAAATTGTTGTAAAGTACACATAACACAAAGCTAATCGTTTCACCATTTTTAAGCGTACAACGCAGCAGCATTATGTACATTTACAGTGCTCTACGAGCAACACCACTATCCATTTCGAGAACGTTTTTGTCATCTCAAACAGAAACTATACCCATTAAAACACAATTACTCATTCCCTCCATCACTAGCCCCTGGTAACTTTTATTTTACTTTATGTCTCTAGAAATTTGCCTGTTCTGGGTACGTCATATAAATGGAATCCTGTGATATTTGTTCTTTGGGGTCTGGCTTATTTCACTTAGCATAATGTTTTCAAGGTTCACCTATGTTGTGTTATGTGTCAGAATTTCATTCCTTAGCTGGAAAAATTTTCTATTATATATGGAAAATAAGTTTAAAGTCCAGTGAAGAGAAATAATAAATTTGTGAATGACAGTTAGTGAATATGAGTCGCACACAGTCAATAGTCACTGTGAAGACTACAAAAAAGCAATTATAATGAATAATAGGTAAAAATGCAAAATACATAACTTGATTTATCTGCCCAAAATATGTATGCATGTGGACAAGGATTTGAAGGGTATAAATAAACATGAAAATTGTTTTGGGGTGGTGAAAGAATGTGTGATTTATATCTTATTTCAGAATTTTCTTTTGTACCATTGACATGTTTCTTTTTTATGCAAGACTGAAAAAAAATGGAAGATACTGGAACCATAGTTAAAGATGAGAATTATGAAAACAGAATAAATGCTATTTTTCTTCTTTCTGCTTTTTTTCCCCCAGCAGGCCCATCAGCTACCAAGTTTCACCTGTGTTAGGGGAAAGAAAGAAGCTCCCCACGTCCAATGATTCTGTGCATGCCTAATCCTGTCACCCACAGCCGTCAATAAAGAGGGCAAAGCAGATTATTCCAAAGAGAGTAACAGTTGACATCCCATAGTGCCAAACCCATTCTTAGCCAAAAGGGACTTTACTGAGAGCCCTCATTTTTAAATGTACTTCAATGCATTGTTGTTCATTTGGAACGTTCCACTCTAAGTCATCTTTAGTAAGATTTTGCCATTTCTGTAAGACTTGGCCGCCTCCCAGGCCTAATGTATAAGCTAGAAGGAACTCAGTTTTCCAGAAATTAAGGATTCCATTTTTACCTAAAATACAGGCTTTACTCTCAGGTTCTCTTGATTAACTTAGCCAATGATTTTTCCTACCCAGGTGCACAAAAGAAATGAAACAAAGGAATAGAACACAAAAATCCCTGTGAATTTTGAAAAGCCAAATTTTATAACTCCTGCAACATTACTGCTTACTACCAGTTCTTTTCTGACCTAGTCAGCTGTTAGAGGCCTCTAAGTGGATCCAAGCCAGTTAATTCCCAGATCAAATTCATTCCTACACCCAGTCCATTTTCTGTGACAACTCCAAACCCAGTTTGGATCACAAATTTGCTGAAGGAAACCCAGAGAGCTCAAAACATAAATATGTGAAGCTCCAAAATGCGAGAGGGAGCTTAATTATGATCCTCAGCCACTCTGAGAGATCAGCGCACACAAGTGGATCCTGCAGGTACCTTCCGTGTTCACGTAGCGCTCCTGGGGATACTGGAAGCTCCACTTCAGATCCTGCTTCTGACACCAGCTGATAAAATAAAAGTTTCAACTGAATTAAATGTAAAGGCAATTAATTGAGCAATGAAGAATTCATTAATCTGGCAGCCTTCAGAATCACAGCAGATTCACAGAGGTTCTAGGGGTGCCTTGTTGTCAAAACAAATTTATAGGGGAAAAAAGGTAAAGTGACGTACAGGAACCGGAAGTGAGGTACAGAAACAGTAAGATTGATTACAAGTGGGACTTTGCTTTATTTGAACACAGTTTGAACATTCAACTGTCTACGGGTGGTTGAAGTATGGCTGCGGGGATTGGCCAACACTCAAGTATTGTTACAGGTGCACACTACTAAATTCGGTTTTCAATTTTGTCTGACTATTAAAGTAGGTAACAGTTCACCCACAAGGACTCAAATGTAGAAATGCAGAGTCCTCCTCAGGCCAAATTTAGTTTGCTTTAATACTTTGTCACAAAATTTATTGAAAGAATTGTCTAAACATGCTATCTCCAGTCCCCCTCCTAATCTTATCTAATTGGGGTTTTGCTACACCAATTCTACTAAAACACTTTTTAAAGCCATCACTGATCTCTATGTTATTAAATTCTATAGTCAATTATTGCTTCTCATCTTAAAACATCTTCCTTCAATGGACTTTCTTCACTTGGTTTCCAACACAGCACAGTCCCTTAATTTTCCTTTAAAGTCACTGGTTACTTTTTCTTAGTCTCCTCTTTGGACCCTTCTTTCATCCCCAATTTTGTAATTTTGCATCACTTTAGAATTCAATCATTGGCCCTCATTTGTATCCACAGTTACCCCTGGTGCTCTCATCTGTTCCTATGGCTTTAAAATCAATCTACCTGCCAATGACTAACACATTTATATTAATTACTCAAACTCTTTTCCAAACTCCAGACATATGTATCTAATGGACTGTTTGATATCTCTTGGATTCCATCCAATAGATATCTCATATTTATTATGTCTCAGATCAAACTCCTTATCCACCCTCTCTACCCAGCCTACTTCACCTGTAGTCTTTCTCAACTTAGTTGATGGCAACTCCATCTTTTCACGTATTCAAGTAAAAACTCTTGAAGTTATTCTTAAGTATCTTTTCCCCTCCCACTTCACATCCAATCCATTGTGACATTCCACTCATTCTGGTTGGGAGAAAATTCTTCATGGCCTCTCACATTTCTGCATGTCTTATGAGCAGAGACATTGACAATCTTCGCTCCTGACTATCTTTTCAAGGATGTTTGTAAACAGGACAGCTTGGAAGCTAGAGATATTGCTTTCTTCTGAAGCAGAGGGCAGGTTTGCTGCAAACACACATCTATTGCATTTGCAATATCAATCTGCCTTCTGGTATTTCCTCGTAGGACTTGTGGAGCAAGGAGGACTAACATAAACACATAAATCATTCTGCCTGTTGAATGAGTAATAAAATTCTGACTTTACCCAGGAGGCTTGTTTCACCTGCCAGCATTACGAAA